GACCAAAAAAAAAGTGATTAATTGTAGTGGATTCAATTCATCTTTACTTGTGAAAACTATCAAATTATTAGTGTCTACTGAATTGACTGCACTGGGTTTGGGTTTTGGATTATCAATGTTAAAAAAAATTTTAAATGAAAATTTGAAAAACAGTGCAATAGCAAATACACACTTTTCCAGTTGGGAATTGTCAGCGGAATTTTATTACATACTAAACTTATAAATGCACTTAGTAGCTTTTATAATTTAAGAAGTTAGATTAGACTGAGAAGAATGTGGAAACAAGTCTGGAGGAAAAGAACAGTCTGCATTATGCAGATGACACAATCTTATAAAAAGTTAAGAAGAACTGAAACGTGTTCAAGACCATAGCCTTCTATATGAATTACATTTCAACATTACGAATATGAAAATTCTCACCCCTGGATCAAGTGTCAATACCATAACAGATGGAGAAAAGATTTAAATTGTCAACAATTTCATTTTACTTGGATCCACAACACAATCAATACCCTTAGTAACAGCCATCAAGAAATGAAAAGATAGGTTACATTGGGAAAATCTGCTGTCAAGGACCTCTCCAAAGTGCTAAAGAGCAATGATGTCAGTTTAAAGACTAACGTGTGCTTGACTGATTTAGGGCCTTTTCAATTGCTTCCTCTGCATCTGAAATGTTGTCAATGAATAAAGATAACAACAACAACAACAAAATCAATGCCTTTGAATTGTGCTGTTGGAGAGAACGGAATATATCAAATGATGTTGTTGTTAAATGCTGTCGAAGTGTAGGCATCTCATAGCAACCCTATAAATGAAAGATCTGAACATTTGTATAACTTTCTTCATTTCTCCAAGTTCATAGGGTTTCCAGAGGTAAGCTATTTTGGAAGTGGATGCCGCTCCTGCTTCCAAGTTTGTATTGTTGTTGTTGTTATGTGCCATCGAGTCACTTGCAACTCATAGCAACCCTATGTACAAGAGCCCTAAACCCTGCTCTACCATGTGCCAACCTCACCGTCTCGAACACACTTACTCCCATCACCCCAATCACAGAATCGATCCATCTCACCAAGAGTCTTCCTCTCCTGTGCTGTCCCTCTC